AGGGATGGCCGGTTTGCTCACTGGCTGAGCGTGGTGCTGACAACACCAAGCCAAGGGTTGAGATCCCCTTACCAGTCATCTTTCAAAAAAAAAAAAAAAGAATGCCAAAAGTACCTGCAAAGCTGTATGTCCTCTTAAGATCTACCTGAAAAAAATGTGTGGTTCTCCTAATTGAGCAGATAATAGACAGTAGAAAGATGTAAGAGAATGCTGTTTTCATCTTCCAGTAGTATTCAGAATAAACTTTTGAATCAGAAGGAAATGAGAACTGTGAAGCATTGCTCTAAGACAGCTTTTATTAGTTTCTTTTATAAGGTATAAGGCTTTTTATCTGAAGGAATTTGAGACTCAAGATACCATAGAAGTTTGATTTTTAAAAAATCTCTGTCAATGGGCTGGCCGCATGGCTCACTCGGGAGAGTGCGGTGCTGGTAGTGCTGAAGCTGCAGATCCTATCTAGGGATGTTTGTTGCACTCACTAGCTGAGCGTGGTGCAGACCACACAGTGCTGAGGGTTGCAATCCCCTTACCGGTCAAAAAAAAAAAATCTCTGTCAATGAGAGAAGGCTTTATAGCAATTTATAGTTTATCAACAAACCTTGTGATCAGAGGTTGAAATAATGTTGAAGCATAGAGAACTGTACCACTTCTGGGATTTGGAGAAAAGCATTAAATAGCTAATAATGGATTATGAAATGTTTATATCGATACATCTTTATATCAGGTTTGAGAGAGGGGAACCCTGTCTGTGCTCAAGTTAGAAGGTAAAGGAAGGAAGGAGGGCACTTTTTTGGATCAAGAAAACGTTCCAGTTTCTGACAGAAGCAAGCAATAAGGGGGATTCCTTTAATAATGGAAACGAAGGCTTTTCTTTTCTAATTAGAGAGGATAAACTTTAGAGTGAATGAGTGTGGATTTTGTACATTTTTATTTAGTCTGGGTGTTGATGACTGGATGTTAGGGAATGGAAATGAAGAGAGCTGGAAGACTTGGACATTTTACAAAGTATGTATGTGGAGGGAGAAGAGCAGATAGAGGGAAGTAATGGCGGGAGTGGGATAGGAAAGACTCAAATGTGGAAGGTTGTGTGTAAAGAAGCTGAAGCTACAAGACAAACACACTTGTTGCATCTTGTCTAGGGTTATAGAAGTGTTTTATTTGAAGCTGCAAATAAAATTGCAAATTGAATAGTATTGTTGAATTTTATATTTCATTATTGGTATTGGTAATGTTTCCGATACAGAGAATTTAAGATAGATTCCAATTTTGTTTATTTATATGTTTTTAATCTTTTGGTGTCTCTTCTTTGGTTCACAGTATATGTTGCTTTTTTCCCCTTTATCATTTAAGGAAGAACTTCAGATATCACTTTTAAAACTGAGTAATGATTATAAAGTAATGAAAAGTACAGCTGCAAGAGATATGAATTTGGATTCAGAATTACAAGACTTAAGACTTAGTTTGGAGGCAATGGAATGAGAACTCAATCAGAGTATTAATGAAAAGGAAATACTGCTATCCAAGTTAGGAGAATTGGACAAACAGAACCAAGAAGCTACAAAGGTAATGTTATATTAAAGACAGTGAGGTAGCACATTTTACTCAGCAGACTGAACACTGGGTTAACATGTAAAAATGATGGGCATAATTTAATTCTGTAATTTAATTACTATTTTAGTTCACTGATGGTCTACTCGTAGAAATTGCCAAATACTAAAGTACTTTTGGCTTTACAGACCATGTAGTCTCATTTGCAATGACTCGACTCTGCTGTTGTGAAAGAGCATGGCTGTGTTTCAATACAATTTTATTTACAGAAACAGGTGCAGGCCTGATTTGGCCTCTAAGATGTAGTTTGTTGTTCCTGCTCTAGTGCCTCTAAGATGTAGTTTGTTGTTCCTGCTCTAGTGTTTAAAAGTTGAAAATAAATGACATATATTGTTTCCCTTCTTCGGTAAAATGGACTTGCTGTAAGATATTAGTAAATACCTTTGTAGGGGATGTTGGGATAGGAAAAAGGTTGTTTTTAAGAAAGATTAGAAATATTTGAGGATAATTCTATTATGTATGAACTTTTGTGAAATTTTTTTATGTACTAAAATAAAAAAATTTTATAAAGTTACCATGCAAATTAATTTTTCTTTCAGCACATTATTTTGATAAAAGATCAGCCATCAAAACAATGAAATGAAGGAGATAGCATTATCAGTAAACTGAAACAAGATCTAGATGATGAAAAAAAGATAGTTCAGGGCTGGCCTGGTGGTGCACTGGAGAGTGCACTGCTTGGGAGTGCAGCAGCGCTCCCGCCAATGGTTCGGATCCCATGTGGAGACCGGTTCCTGCTCACTGGCTGAGCGCGGTGCGGGCGCAACACCGAGGGTTGCAATCCCATTACCAGTCAGTAAAAAAAGACAAAAAGGAATTAAAAAAAAAAAAGGTAGTTCATCAACTTGAGGATGATCAAGTGAACCTTACTAAAGAGTTAGACAAGCGGGAAAAAAAGTTAATTCAAAGTGAACTGGTCCTGAATGATTTGCATTTAATCAAGGAGGAGCTTGAGGATAAAGTCGAATATTTAGTAGATCAGCTAAGTAAATCACAGAAAAATAATTCAAACATCCAGAAGGAGAACCTTGAACTTAAGGAACATATTAGACAAAATGAGGAAGAGCTTTCTAGAGTCAGGAATGAGTTAACTCAGTCTCTTAATCAAGACTCTAATAGTACTTTTAAGGATAACTTACTTAAAGAAAGGGAAGCGGAAGTTAGAATCTTAAAGCAAAATCTTTCAGAAATAGAACAGCTTAATGAAAATTTACAGAAAATTGCTTTTGATCTGAAAATGGAAAATGAAAAGTTGGTTTTCACATGTGAAGATAAATGAAAAGTTGGTTTTAACTTGTGAAGATGTAAGGCATCAGTTGGAAGAATCTGTAGCTGGGAACAGTCAGATTTCTCTGGAAAAAAACACTATTGTGGAGACTCTAAAAAAGGAAAAAGGACAGATAGAAGCAGAATTGTGTCAGGCTAAAGAGAGGCTGTTGGAAGAAGCAAGCAAGTATGAGAAAACTTTGAAGAACTATCAAATGCACATAACTTGAGCACATCTGCCTTACAGCTGGAACATGAGCGTTTCATTAAACTCAGTCAAGAAAAAGACTTTGAAATAGTAGAACTCAAAAAGAATATTGAGCAAATGGATACCGATCATAAAAAAACTAAAAGACTTTGAAATAGTAAATGCACATAACTCGAGCACCTCTGCCTTACAGCTGGAACATCAGCGTCTGATTCAACTCAGTCAAGAGAAAGACTTTGAAATAGTAGAACTCAAAAAGAATATTGAGCAAATGGATACCGATCATAAAAAAACTAAGGAAATTTTGTCATCTAGTGAAGAAGAGCAGAAGCAATTGACAGAAGTTATAAAGGAAAAAGAACTTTTTATGGAAAAACTTAAAGAAAAGTGTTCAGAGCTGCAGGAGGAATTAGATAAATATTCTCAGGCCTTAATGACAAATGAAATTTTAAGGCAGACCATAGAGGAAAAGGACAGAAGTCTTGGAGCCATGAAAGAAGAAAACAATCATCTGCAAGAAGAACTGAAATGACTCAGGGAACAGCACAGTCAAACTGCACCTGTGGCTGAGCCCAAACCACTTGATAGTATTACAGAACTAGAATCGGAGGTATCTTAACTGAATATAATCAAGGATCATCTTGAAGAGGAAATTAAACATCAACAGAAGATAATTGAAGATCAAAACCAGAGTAAAATGCAACTACTTCAATCTTTACAGGAGCAGAAGGAGGAAATGGATGAGTTTAGATACCAGCATGAGCAAATGAATGTCACACACACCCAGCTCTTTTTAGAGAAAGATGAGGAAATTAAGAATTTGCAAAAAGCAGTTGATCAAATCAAAACCCAGTTGCATGAAGAAAGACAGGACATTCAAACAGAGAATCCTGATATTTTACAAGAAGCAAAAGTTCAGAGCCTTAATATAGAAAATGGAATTGAAAAGCATGATTTATCTAAAGCTGAAACTGAAAGATTAGTGAAAGGAATAAAAGAACGAGAACTAGAGATAAAACTTCTAAATGAAAAGAATATATCTCTAACTAAACAGATCGATCAGTTGTCCAAAGATGAGATTGGTAAACTAACTCAGATTATCCAACAGAAAGATTTGGAGATAGAAGATCTTCATGCTAGAATTTCTTCAGCTTTCTACACCCACGATGTTATGTACCTTCAACAGCAATTGCAGGTCTATGCTATGGAAAGAGAACAAATATTAGCTGTTTTGCGTGAGAAGACTTGGGAAAATAGCCATCTAAAAGCAGATTATCATAAAATGATGGATATGGTTGCAGCCAAAGAAGCAGCCCTCATTAAGCTGCAAGAGAACAACCAAAAATTGTGCACTCAATTGGAAAGTAGCAGCCAAGATATGTTTAGAGAAACTGTTCAGAATTTATCATGTATCATTTGAGAAAAAGACATTGTATTAAGTCAGAAATGTGCGACTTTATTAGAAGTTTTACAAACATCCAGCACTAGTAATGAGGCTGGAGTTGTTAATAGTAATCAGTTCGAGGAGCTTTTACAGGAACGGGATAAATTAAAACAGCAAGTAAAGAAAATGGAAGAGTGGAAACAGCAGGTGATGACCACAGTACAAAATATGCAAAATGAGTCAGCTCAATTTCGGGAACAACTTGGTCAGCTTCAGGCAGAAGTTTTGGTTGACAGTGATAGTAGTTCTATATTACAAGTGGACTGTACTGGTCTGATCCAAAGTTACGAGCAGAATGAAACCAAACTCAAAAGTTTGGGGCAGGAATTAGCAAAAGTTCCGCATAGCATGGGGCAGCTTTGCAATACTGAAGATCTTCTTTTAGGAAAACTTGATATTATTTCATTCCAGCTCTCTTCCGGATCACCACTTACTTCCCAGTTAGCACAGTCTCTTAGAGCGAGTAAATCTGATATATCAAGTGAATCATCTCAGTTGCTTCAGCGAGAGGTAGAAGAGCTCAGGAAATCACTGAAGCAAAAAGACGCAACAATTAGAACTCTCCAGGAAAATAATCACAGATTGTCTGCTTCGATTGCTGCCACCTCAGAGCTAGAAGAAAAAGAACATGAACAAACTGATTCAGAAATTAAGCAGCTAAAGGAGGAACAAGATGTTTTACAGAAGTTACTTAAAGAAAAAGACCTCTTAATCAAAGCCAAAAGTGATCAGTTACTGTCTTCGAATGAAAATTTCACTAACAAAGTGAATGAAAATGAACTTTTGAGGCAGGCGGTAACCAACCTGAAGGAGAGAATATTAATTTTAGAAATGTACATTTGTAAACTAAAAGGGGAAAATAAAAAAATAGTAGAAACATCCAGGGGAAAGGAAGCAGAACATCAAGCATTACAGGAGACTCATATGAAGATTTCTATGATGCTGCAAGACAAAGAGTTTGAGTGCCATTCCATGAGGGAGAAGGCTCTTGCTCTTGAGCAACTATTGTAAGAAAACGAACAGGTAGGTTCTGGTTGGAGTATCGTAGAGGGAAGTTGGAGGTGGAGGAGGCTTCTTTGTTTCAGTTACTTTATTAATATCATCTTTGAAGAGGACAATGAATTTGTTCATTTAGAAATATTCAAGGTACAGTTGTGTGTTGCTAAACGATGGGGATACATTCTGAGGAACATCATTAGGCAATTTCGTTGTTGTGCGAACGTCAGAGAGTGTACTTACACAGACCTAGGTGGTATGGCCTACTACACACCTAGGCTATATGGTACAGCCTATTGCTTTGACTACTGTCGAATACGTGATCAGTCATTGACCAAAATGTTTTTATGGGGTACATGACTATATTTTTGATTTGAGGCATCTGGAAGTTTCTCCCTCAAATTATTACTTATTTCCAAATATTTTTAGTAGTAGGTTAATTTTTTACAGGCTGCTAAGTAGGAAAAAAGAGTATAGTAGCAATTAATACCCTTAGAAAATAGAAATTTGTTACAAGAGAAATTTTATAGTCACTTAAACACATTTTAGGCTCATTTCAGTAGCTGCTAGCAGTGATTAACATCTTAGGGATTCTTATATGTAAAGGAAAGCCCTGTGAAATACTACATCTTTGAAGATTATCTACAGTAAGAAATACATTTTACATTGTGACATAGCAGCACGTGTCCGTGTGTGTGTGTGTGTGTGTGTGTGTGTGTGTGTGTGTGTGTAAAGCTGAAAAGTTTCAAGAACCAGAAATTACCCTTACTACATGTGATACTCTATTTAAAGAAAAACCAAAAACAGTGCTGGATAAACCATTGAACTGATTTTTATGAATCAATTAGTCATAACCTGGAATTATTGTCATAACCTGGAATTTGAAAGGTGTTAGCCAAGAGTAGTAGTTTTCACATAATAAATTCAGTAAATACTGTAATCCCAGCTCTGTCGCACATGTGACTTTGGGTATGTTTTGACCTTATTGGTTTGTTTATTTAACCATAATATGGAGGGTCATAACAGTTATATGGAAAGTGGCAGTAGCTTTTCATATAATTAAATTTTTACATGCATTTCATTTTAATAAGAATTATTGAAGATCTCCTGTTACATCATACTGTGATAGGTGCTGTGTAGGGCTTGTTTGGTAGTTCCTTTCTACACTGATTTCTATACTTTTAGTAGTAGAAATTTGGAAAAGAGTTGAGAGGCAGAACAATGGAATATTCAGCAAGTGCTTCTTGAGCATTTACATGTTGCCAGGCACAAGATAAACTTCTTTTGTCAATTAAGTTCTCTCTTAGAGTCTTGGATTGAAGTTGTGAAAACTTACTTCATTTCTTCTTCTTGGCCATATATCTGATTAAAGAGGTACACTCATGGTCAATGGTGAGGTGTTCTCGTCCTTCAGAGATAACTTTTTAGCCTTAATGGTACTGGTCTATAATTGGTGTGAAAAAGACTCTTAGAGGGTACAGCTTCCTATTACTCACTAACCAAAATTAGGTACAGTGTCTTATGGTTGTAAGACTACAACAGAAGGAATGTAGAACAAGTTTTCTGTTGCATATATTTTTTTCTTTTGCAGTTTTGCATCTTGTACAATTTAGTTCTAATTCATTGACATTTACACATCTAAAGTGTGCAGATTATATTCGGGCTCTCATACCTTTTAGGAAGCTTCCCTAAGTCACATATTACTAAAGTATTGTATTACTTGAGGGTAATTCATATAAACTAATTATAATTTATTCCAATATTCTATGCAATGCATCTTCCAAAATTTCACAGAAAGATTCATATTTTCTTGTAATTCTGTTTTGCCACAAAATTTTTCAAGTACGCTCATATAATTTGAGTACCTTTAATAGTACATTTTGAGTATGATAAATTACATATTTTGGGGGGGAGAATGGGATGTTCTCAGCAGGAGATCTTCAAATCTATTTAATTTTTCAAGCATTTGCTCTTTCTCTGTAATATGAAAAAGAAAACTAACTGAAAAACTATTTGGAAAATGCTGGCCTTCCTATTTAGGAGGGGATGTTGAAGTAAAAAGGAACAGATGGTTTTATGTTTTGGTTTCAATGATTTATCCTGGGGAAACATTATATATTCTTAAAGAAATGAAAAGTTTACATAACAACTTAAAATAATACTAAACTATAAGTAGATTCGTTTGATATGCATATTTAAAACAGAGAAAAGACTTGGCTGTAAACAGCCTGACACTTTTCTGTGTTTGTTAGAATTCCAGCTATCATTTGAAATTCATGACTCTACTTTTGCAATGAAGGGTTATCTTTTTTCTGCTGTCGTTAATATATTGTACTTATATGGAATAAATTTTCATTTTTGTCTAGCAAGATATCTTTCCAAAGTTGCTTTCATTGAGTTGTTGCCAAAATATTCTTTTTAAATAGACTGTACATATGAAATGATTTCCTTTTTATCTTTTTCTAGCTACTGACACTTATTTTCTAGAACAACAGTTGTGGGTGCCTGATGAATGGACATCCTTGTGTGCATACGCACCTGTGTGCGTGCACACACACACACCCCACACACGTACATTTTATTGGTGATTTGGAGGTTCACGAACACTTTGTTGTACGGGCAAATTTGAAGAGATTTTTGTCTTTTGAGTTCCTTTTGAAACATTTCTAGTAAGCTTTTTCTTTTATGATAGATTTATAGAAAAGTTGCAAAGATAGTGGAGAGAGTTCTGTACCTCACACCCAGTTTTATTTATTATTGACATCTTACTTTACTATAATACATTTGTCACAGCTAATGAACCAATATTGAGGTGTTACTACTAACATTTAGACTTTATTCAAATTCCTTAATTTTTACCAGTTGTCCTTTTCCTGTTCCAGGAGGCCATCCAGGATACCACATTATATTTAGAGGTCATGTCTCCTTAGGCTTCTATAGACTGACAGTTTCTCAGACTTTCCTTGTTTTTGATGACCTTGACATAGTTAACTACATTTTAAAATTAATTATTTAATGAAGAAAGTGTCTTTTTTATAGTGTATTTTTCTTTTAAGCTAAAGTTATTTCTTTCTAAAGGGCAAGACTGGGGAGTTAAATCAGCTTTTAAATGCAGTTAAGTCAATGCAGGAGAAGACAGTTACACTTCAACAGGAGAGAGACCAAGTCACGTTGTCCCTGAAACAGAAACAAATGGAAAACAATACCCTGCAGAATGAGGTATACTTTCACTTTAAATCAACAGTGAATCAAATATTAAGTTTAATAACTATTAAGTAAGAAAACTGGAAAGTTTTCAATTAAAATGAATTTATTTCCTAGGTGATTTTTCTTAGTTTTTCTCTGATATGCTATAGTAGGACTTTTATCTCGCAGGGTGCTTTATATTTTAGGTTTCAAAAATGAAAACCATGGCATATCTTGGATATAAGAAAAAATTTTTACCCATAAAATATGAAAAAAATGATATACACTGAAAAAGTGGTCTGTCACAAAGAACCCAGTACTTTTGTATAGTTCCATTTTCCAGGAAATGAGATCGTACAAAGTAAAGCTTCTAGATGAATATTCAAGATGATTTCAGGAGAATTTTTCCTAGAATAAATATATCTTGCAGTATGAGCAATTAGTATACAAGTAATACATTTCAAGAATGGGAAAAAGATTTGATAACATAGTGGCTTGTAGCAGGGGGAAAGGAACGGGGGGAAGGAACATTTTGGTAGAAGAAAAATAAAGAAATGTCCTCTACCTAGGTTCAACATTTACGTAACAAAGAATTAGAGTTAAACCAGGAGCTAGATTGATTGCATAATCATCTTTTAGAATCAGAAGATTCTTATACCCATGAGGCTTTGGTTGCTGAAGATAGAGAGGCTAAACTAAAAAAGAAAGTCACAGAATTGGAGGAAAAGCTAGTTTCATCCACTAATGCAATGGAAAATGCAAGGTAACTTTTTCATTTTTTTTCATTAACTTTTACTGAAAACTTCTTGAGTGTCAGAATCAGTAAGCATTTTTCATGTTAGCTCATTCTCACAAAATTCATTATCTCATTTTTGCAGATAAAGATACAGGGTAAAGAGATTTAGTAACCTGCCCAAAGTCAGGCACACAGAATTTATGTGTGGGTTTCACACTCAAATCTGAGACTCTGAATCTGCCTTTCAAACTCTTAATCTTAATCATCACCCTAGGCAATTGCCTCTTATCATTTTAGGGATATAGTCTGTAATTCTGGCTGATTTAATTAGCTCTGTTCAGCTCCCAAAGAACTAATTTAATTTATGTGGGTTTATTTTTCATCAAGTGGTCTAAGGTTGAACTAGCTGTAGATATTAGAGTAAAGGAAGTAGCAAGGTGAAGGACCTAGATGAGTATAAAGAATTAGCTCTTGGTTTATTAGGACTTTTAATTGGCCAGGTCCCTGCTTGGCCCCTGCTTATCTTTTTTAAAATTTTATTTTTCTCAATAAAATGTTGTAAAATGTTTTTTCTTTTCTTTTTTTTATTACAAAAACGTTAGATTTTTCTTTTCTTTTTTTTTCTTTTCCTTTTTTTTTGTCTTTTTTCGTGTCCGGCAATGGATTGCAACCCTCAGTGTCACGCCCGTACCGGACCGGGACCGGCAACGGGATCGCAACCCTCAGTGTTGCGCCCACACCTCGCTCAGCCAGTGAGCGGGAACAGGTCTGTATGTGGGATCCGAACACTCGGCGGGAGCGCCACCACGCTCCCAAGTGGCGCACTGCAGCAGTGCACCACCGGGCCAGCCCCCAAAATGTTAGATTTTTCACTTCAGGAGAATCATTCAAACCAAAAGAACATAAAGCAGAGTCTCACCCCCCCCCATGATAATCTTTTTTTGTACCCTTTTATGCTTTTATATTTGTTTATATATATACTGCTTAACTTTTTAAAAGCAAAATTGAGATCATACTATTCATACAGGTTTTGTAACCTGTTTCTATCACTTAATAATATATGAGTATCAGTACACATTGATGCATATGTTTCTGCAATATTATTTTATGATTAGCCATTACTTGGATTTGCCATAATTTCTTTAGCCCAACCATTTATTATTGGATGTTTCAAGTGTTTCAGCTTTTCAAAATTACTAAGAGTGCTGTTGTGATATCCCAAGACATGTATGTTTTGTGTTGATGACAGATTATTTCCGTAGTGTAAATTTTGAGAAATGGAACTTCTGGGTCAAGGGGCATTTTAAAACTTTTGAGATTGTACTGCAAAATTATTTTCCAGAAAAGATATTTCCATTTGTGGTATGTGCATCTTTTTATTTATCTTTTTACTATGTATGGTACTGATGGAGATATAAGAAGATAGTAGAAACTATCTGTCCACAAAGGTATTACAGGCCAGTAGAGACAATATTTCTGAGGGTGAACCCCTCCTCCTCCCTTTGCATGGAGTGTTATTGTACCTTCAGATTCTCAAGGGAAACTCGTTTAAAATGGGAATTAAAGCGAATGATCATTTTTGTATGTATTTCACTCAGGCAGACATGCCAGAACATCCTCAGATTATGTCCTTATATATTGGAATCCTTCCTTGCAATTTTCAGGCCCTTATTTTCTCAAATTAAACTAGTTTTTAGCCTCTGCCCCTTTTATTTACACTTTGTAATAGTTTCCAGAATAACCTTCCTTAAGTAGAGCTGTGATCTTGTTCCTCTTTTTTAAAAAAACCAGTTTTGACTCCCATGATTTGGTTCCATGCTACCTACTACCATAGCCTTATTTCATGCTATCATCTGTATCCAGCTGAACTGTATTACTCAGTTTTCTAAGACCTACTATCTTCCTATTTCTTTTTCTTATACTTTTTCTTTTCATATTCTTTCTTATACATGAAGAATGGACCTATCCCTGACAGTTTTTCTGTGAATCCACCTGTTCTTCAAATTCCATTTTCTTCATGAAGGTTAGCACCCCCCTCCTCATATGTAGAACAAACACGGGTGTGATGTTTTTCCTTTGAACTTGTATAACACTGAGTCTTTGCTAGATTACATATATTTTACTTTAGGGTACAGGTAATTGTTGACCTGTCTTATACTGTCTCCACCCCAATGAAATGTAAGGTCACTGGAGAGTAGGAATGATGCCATTCATTTTATACCATTCCCATAGCATATATTACAAACACTGGTGTGATGTTTTTCCTTTGAACTTGTATAACACTGAGTCTTTGCTAGATTACATATATTTTACTTTAGGGTACAGGTAACTGTTGACCTGTCTTACACTGTCTCCCACCCAATGAAATGTAAGGTCACTGGGGAGTAGGAATGATGCCATTCATTTTGTACCCTTCCCATAGCATATGTTACACAGAGTTGAATAGATTTTCAGTAAATATTTGTTGTATGAGTACCTCAGTCTACAAACCCTAACTTGACAATAGTGTGACCTGGTATTTCTTAGCTTTGTATGCCACCATAACTCTTTTCATCCTTACAATCACCCTTTGAGTGATTAGCTAACCAGCAAAGCCGAATAAATTCCAGGGACATTGAGAGCAGAGGTCTTCTTACTATCAATTTACTGCTCTTTCCACAAGAGGGTGCTATTGGGTAAAGTCTCTTCAAAGTGAGATGCTCTTGAATAAAAATTGAACTAGATATTAAAAACCCAGAAAGATTATTGCAGTATTTTGGATATAATCTTTATACATTAAAGAAGTACACCAATGACATAAGCCTAGATAGGTGCTATATAAATCTCCTAGGGATCCCTGGAGTATTATTTTGGGACAGGAGTAGGTATTATTGTATTTAATGTAGGTAGAAAGAAAAATGATAGTAAAAGATAATTAACTAATAATCAGAGCAGTTAGTTCATCAGTTGGATAGCCTTTGGAAACTGTGAGTTCACCATGATTGCAAGTGTCAAAAGCAAGGGGGTGTCATAGAATCTCTTCTTTGTTAGGTTAGAAGCTGGATCAAATGACTTTGAAGGTCCCTTACAACTTCAAATTCTGAGATAAATTACATCTTAGAGATTTAACCTGGAGACACGAAAATTGCAGACTACTTGTAAATTTTTCTTTTGCTGACATTTCTTGTTTAGCCTAATTCTTAGTCTTTAAAAGGATAGTCATTTGTTCAAAATCACTTTAACAGGAAGGATCATTGAGTTAATAAAAATAGGGAGAACAGAGGAACTATTCAAGTTTCTTTGAAATCTAACTTGAATTTAATGCAATAAAATGTCAGAAAGGTCCAATTCATAGACACAAAGTAGAATGTTGGTTGCCAGAGGAAGGGGGACATGTTATTTAATGAATATCAGGGCTGGCTGGTTAGCTCAGCTGGTTAGAGTGCAGCCTTGTAACACCAAGATCCAGGGTTCAGATCCCTCTACCAGTCAGCTGCCAAAAAAAAAAAAAAATGAGTATGGAGTTTCAGTTTGGGAAGATGAAAAAAAGTTCTGGAGATGGGTGGTGGTGGTGGTTGCACAACAGTGTGATTGTACTTAGTGCCACTGAGCAGGACATGTAAAAATGGTTACAATGGTAAATTTTAATGTGTATGTTACCACAATAACACAATGTGGGGAAGATGTTTCATCTTGTTAAAGTACCTAAATACTTTGAAATCTACCATGAATTTAGTGCAATAAGACTTAGGGAAGGTGATTCTTCTGGTTAAAGTAATAGAAGCAGTTTGATTTTTATTCTTTTTGTTTGAAGCCAGCAAGCCAGTGTGCAGGTAGAGTCCTTACAGGAGCATTTGAATGTAGTCTCCAAGCAAAGGGATGAAACTGCACTGCAGCTTTCGGTCTCCCAGGAACAAGTAAAGCAGTATACTCTATCACTAGCCAACCTACAGATGGTACTAGAGCAGTTCCAAGAAGGTAAGTTCTATAGTCGGTTTTTCAGTGAAGACAAATTGTAGTTGTTGGTAATTTTCCCCTATTGGAGTGCCGTTTTAGATTAAACATGGGGAAATCTTCAAAAGGTTACCTACTTGTAGGGGCAAAAGGCAAGTAGCCATCATCAACTATTTAGACTCCTTTACAACTAAGACTAGAGAATATTAACTATATTCAGTAGTTATTAAAAATTTGATTTAGTATTATTTTACCAGTTAAGGTGAGAGTTGAAGTATAAAGGCAACACGCGGTAGGATGATCAATTGATAAAGGGAGAATATAAAGGAAGAGAGAGACACACACATGGAAAAGGTGATTAGGTTTTAAGATATTGTTTGGGGGTCGAACCCACTGCAGAGTGTTAATCATTAGTAATTATCGTCCTTTGATATATTTATTAACTTGTTAACTATTCATCTATACTTTGAGGTGACTGTATCTTCTAGTCCAAATGGGAAGTACTTTTCTGGAGACACAGTAACAGTGACCAGAGCCATTTTATCCTGAGAACCAAATAATGTCTTTTCACATTCTCTCATCCTCAGATTTATGGTAATGCTTTAGTTTCACCCATCCTTTTGTTTTTTCATACGTTCAGTAACTACTGACAGTGAATTAACTGCTAGGTGGGGGGTGGTTAGGGGATATGAGG